TGTGCCCTCAACACATTATTCTGAGCAGTGCAAAATGTCAACCTCTCTGTAGTCTCTTCAATTTTAGCCACAATGGTTCTGTTGGCAGATTGTAATTTGCTGACTTCCTTTATCAATTCTTGCACAAGATTTTGTTTCTTCATCCTAAATCGCCTTGCAGATTCCCTATTTGAAATCATTCTTTTCCTTTTCTTTTCACAAATTTGCGTTTTTAATATCCCAATTTGCTGATATTTTTTTTCTTCTCTATTTCCTTCAGTATTTTTATGTTGTTTTGGTTTCAATGAAAAATTGGGACTCAAGAATAAAATCAAGATCAATTCCCATTCAATTGTAGATTAATTGGTATCTTCGACATAATTGCGTTTTTTGCAGAAGATTTTCTAGAAGTTATAGTCGTTTTGGATTTGTGAAAACAGAAAACAATGCATCTACAATCAGAATACAAATAATCTACAATTTATCTACAAAATATCTACAAACCTGTGTCACTTTCTTACGTCAGGAGAAAGGGAGATCAAAGAAGTATGGGGCCGATACGCGAAGGATCAAATCATAGAGATAGCGGATCTTAAGAGGCGGAAGAAAAGGAACCTCGGCGACCCAGAGATCGCGGAGTCCGCGCCCGTGCCGAAAGTGAAGATAGGTACATTGAATTTTAATATCCCAATTCCCATTCAATTGTAGCTTCATTGGTATTTTTGACATAATTGCGCTTTTTGCAGAAGATTTTCTAGAAGTTTTAGTCGTTTTGGATTTGTGAAAACAGAAAACAATGCATCTACAATCAGAATACAAATAATCTACAATTTATCTACAAAATATCTATAAACTGGGTACATTAAATTTTAATATCCCAATTCTCATTTCAATTGTAGCATAATTGGCATTTTCGACATAATTGCATTTTTTGCAGAAGATGTAGAAGTTTAGTCGTTTTAGTCGTTTTTTATTTGAAAATAGAAAACAAAGCATCTACAATCAGAATACAAATAATCAACAATTTATCTATAAAATATTTACAAATTGGGTACATTGAATTTTAATATCCCAATTCCCATTCGATTGTAGTTTAATTGGAATTTTAGACATAAGTGCGTTTTTTGCAAAAGATTTGTAGAAGTTTTAGTCATTTTTTATTTGTGAAAACAAAAAATAAAGCATCTACAATCATAATACAAATAATCTACAATTCATCTACAAAATATCTACAAACTGGGTATATTGAATTTTAATATCCCAATTCCCATTTCAATTGTAGTTTAATTGGGATTTTCGATAGACATAATCTTAAAGATTCATTATAGTATTCTCAATTATAGATTGAGGGAAATATGTTAGAAAGCTACATCAACTACGTTGTCGAGTTTGAAAAATACTACCTAGGTGACATCAACTATTAGATTTGTCAACTTATTATTTTTCATGGAAAAAAAATATAACGATATTTTCAGCTACAAGTTTAAGTGAGACTATAAGCAGAAAGATTAGGTGAAGTAGAAAATGCAGAGATATTTGCTTAGTTTCTTCGTTTTGTGGGATTTTGTTTATTCGTTAGGTGAAGTAGAAAATACAGAGATATTTGCTTGCTTAGAAAATGCAGAGATATTTGCTTAGATATCTAAATAAGGAATTTTAATACTACAATGATTCCTTATTTAATGAAATATCTGGAAGAATATTTACTTCCATAATTGTAGTGCGCCTAAATAGGAATATCTGGAAGAATATTTAGTTCCAGATTTGTAGCGCCTAATTAGGAAGGAATCAGCTCCTAATAATTGGTATTTAATGAATGGTATAATATTTGTAGAATAACTGTGAACATGACCGGTAAATATGAAACTATACATATTTTTGGTACTAAGGTTTCATATATGGTATAGGAAGGTAAAAGTCCCTTTTTTTTGTTGTTGTTGTTGGTAGGCATCTCGTAAATAGTTACCCACGCCAGGTATTTACACCTTACTAACTAATTAACCTTAAGAATCAACACATAAAGATGAAAATGTATATTACTTAACCATGGTTAAAAGTTAAATAATTTATATGTAAAACATATGTATTTATATTTATTGCTTGGAGTAAAACACCCGGTGTGGATAGATTTTTAAAATTTGAGTCAAATGGCTTATGGCACAAGCAGTTTCCTATAATTTGAGCCAGTGGCATCACTGGCATGTATAGTTTACTAAGTACTATCTACAGATGTAGTGAAGGATGTCCTACTGAAGAGGAACTCAGTCCAAAAAGCTATATTTAGAGGTCCTGTCATGTGGAAGAATTTTGAGGAATTTACACGGAATATAATTTTTTTAACACTTATTTATAAAAGTTACAACTGCATTTAGAAAATTTCACAAAATACAATTTATTATAACATTTTAACTTTTTAATTAGATTACTAAGTTCATAAACTCCTAAAATTTCTCCCCTAAACGTGGGACACTGGCACAAACAAATTGTTAAGTGGTCAGTTACACATTACCTAATTTTTTAGGCTCCTATAATATCTCAACCATCCCTGTATTAATCATTAATACAATCAAAACAAATTCACTCTCAAAAGAAACATGCCTTTTCAGTTTTAAATTATAGAAGGTTTTCATTTTTTTTCCCTTACAACCCCGACAAACCATACAAGGCTTGGGAATTTTGCAGCCGAAAGTGTTTGCTTTCCCCAAAGTTTTGTTGACAATGTATGATTTTATAATATATATACTATATATATTGTTATTGTATATTTTAATAATATATACATTTTATTATATACATTTAATAATATATACATAATATTTGTTTCCCCCAAGTTTGCTTTTCCTTTATTTCTCCATCAGCAAAATGTCTTTACTTCCTCCAAGTTTTTATATGATGTATATATATATTAATACATTGTGTGTGTGTGTATACTAGTATATATTATACTAGTATAGTATATTTGTTAATAATATTTCTTCTTTTTTTCAGCTTGATGTTTGTATACTATATAAATATATAATTAAAACTTACATATATATATATATATATATATATATATATATATATATACATAGTGTGTGTGTGTATGTATGTATGTATATAGTATACAAATATTGAACTGATAAAAGAAGAAGAAATATTATTAACAAATATACTATACTAGTATAATATATACTAGTATATACACACACACACACTATGTATTACTGTATTTTTTTTTTTTTTGGATAATGATTCCTTCAATATATCCAATAAAATTTTTGGTCTTCTTAATTTGATTGATTAATTTTGCACAGTTAGAAAAACGTAAAATTTTTTGGTTTATCAACGTGGTTATGAGATATTGTTATAATTGTCATCAATAATTAACAAAATGGAGAATGTTTATGAGCTAATTATGGGATATGTTATTCCCCTTTAATAGGAAATCTGGCGTACTTTTAGGTATATTTCTATACATTTGTTGTAGAATATGTTATTCTATTATTAATTGTAGATTATGAAATATTTTATAAATTCTTAAGTAATTATGAAAATTTCCCAGGCAGAAAAGACCAAAAATTAATGACTGACCAGTGGCATGTTCAATTTCATTAAATCGTCCAGATAAAAGTCCTAATTTTTCAAAGAACTAGCCACTTGGAAATTATCTCCTATAGGTCATAGCTTTGAACAGTTGAAAATAAGATTTTAATATTAAGACAAAAATGATAATATTGTTTTTACTAACTTTGGTGTCCCAGGAGGGTTTTTTTTTAAGGAAGGTCTCTTAACACTTTCTTTTTTCTTTTTCACCGGAGTTATTTCACAAAGAATTGTCGGGGTAAGGAAGAAAGGGGGAACAAGCACAATCGAGAGCGCAGTACAACGAAGAGTTGTATTTTGGCTGTCTTCTGATTGTTAAGATATCTCATTCAATATTGTAATGGATCTTGAACTTCCTAGTTGCAGTATCTCTAACCTGTTCCATGTTCTATATTCTTTCGTAGCTTTTGTTAATTAAAATATAAAGAAAAAAAGTTCAACGAAAATCAATTGGGGGAACAAGGAGCAGGTAAATTGCACTAAAAGGAAAATAAGTGATGACAGAAGGTTGATAAATGAGTCGATCAAATAACAGGAGATTGATGAACAATCAAGAAAAATATAACAGAGCCTCATCTTATATAAAATAGATGATGAGGAAAAAAGAAAATAACACATGAAGAGACATTGAAGGGCCACAGGCTTTCTTTTCTTCCATCTTAGCAATATAACTAGGGTGACTTAATTCACAAAGAGGAGACATAAAAATACTGACAGAGCCTATGAAGTAGTAGAATCAGGCATACAAAGGAGCAGTAGTTACCTTGCTTGGTAAATCCATTCAAAGTTTCCTTTATGCTAAAATCACTTCATATTATACTTCTTTATGTAACAAAATCATAAAAACAACTAATGGTAAAAAACTGAAGGCAGAAATAAAGTAGGTAAATGATCATGGTATGATTGGTATCATTCATTCCTTTCTACCCTTACAATATTTTTAAGCAGAAATAGGAATTGCTTTTGCTAGAGAAAACAACAAAAGCCAGATCACTAAAAAGATATGAAGATGGATGGAATGGGCTCTCCAATGAGTTAATGGGGATAGACCTATGTTGCGTGGACTCACTAAAATGTTGCCGCACCCGTGTCGGATCCTCCGAAAATACACTGCTTTTCGAGGACCCAACATGCACCCGGTGACATTTTCGGAGAGTCGGAGCAACATAGGGATGGACTTATACATGGAAAGCATAATCATGGGAGTCTCAGCATTAGCCTGGCAAATAACCATTTAATGGAAAAATCACTGATAACAGAGGTTTTAGAAGTTGGCAACCAGGTAAGACACAACAAATGGAATTGGTTTCCTCACTCAACAATTGATGAAACTGAAAAAAGACAGCAGATGGGTAGAGCAATCCCGTAGTGAAAGGATAGAAGCGTTTATTGCAAAGAAAGAAATACCTTGATAGCTCACCTTAACAGCTTGATCACTTTTGACCAGACTAAATTTAAATTTCACCAGTGTAACACGTATGTTAGGCAATAAAATAAACCAACCTTCAACTTTTACAAAAACATTGAGGGCAAAGAAGACAAGACTCACTCTGGTTTTGTTATAAGCACAGGAGACTAGGTCCTGATTCGTAAGCCAGACATGCTTATCGTCTGAATAATGCAGACGCCTATTACACAATGGTGAAACATCAATTCACAAACTTAAAATTCATAATTGTACCATAGCTCTTCTCAAGGCATGTCGATATTTGGATTCATTGCTGGTCGGGGTCATGGAAGGATAGGAAGCTCAACTCTGTTGAATGAGAAAAAGCTCACACGCCCATGCTCAACCAGACAGAATTTCAAAGGAATACCATGAGAATGTCTCTCAAGATCTTCAATCTCTTCTTTGGAAGGTGGATCCTCACTGCACAAGAAAATATATCACTCTTAAAATAGAGCTACATCTATAAATAATGTGGATCAACCAGTCAGGAGAGAGAGTGGAGGAAGGGAATTAGATAGGGGATGGGCTAGGAATGAGGGATAAAGAGGAAAATATAAAAACAACTACTTATGCCAGAATATCATCCAATCTGGTGATCAATCTTATTCTTAAACATTCAGCGTTGCTCAACCATTGCAATGCTAACTAGTATGTCTCAAGTCCCTGTACATGACAATCAGCTAAAATATAGGAGGCAAAGATTAAGCAAGTTTTAGTCACTAGCACTATAACACAATGAACCACATTAACAAGGTATCCTACCTGGCAAGACAAAGTACAAAACATGGATCGCCAGGTGCAGACTTTCTGAATCTACTATTAGGAGGGTAAACATCAAAAACCATTCTCAATCCACCAATTTGCATATTACTAAACATTTCACTGATGAGAATGCTGTCTCTTGATTCCTTATCTTCAATCTCAGCAGTCTCCAGCAGGTCTTGGTTAGAAATATAATTTACACTTGACCTTCTAACTGACCAAGGAATACCATGACGCCCGACTATATAACCAAGAGATTTCAGGTGCTTATAGGCTTCAAAACATTTCAAGGAACAACCACTTTTTCCTTCTGCAACCCTATTGTATATATGTTCCAGAGATAGGGGTGCATCATTGTTACTGAAGAGATGTAGAGCCCCAACTTCCGCCAGATATCTACATCACAAAAAATAAGGTATCATTCTTTGAACACACTGGCAATTGCAGAAGATAATTCTCAAATGAAACCATAAATTTTTCATATTAACTCCTAATACAAATAAGATTGTCAGATGACAAAACTCTCCTGTAATAGGACACTTGCTATATGTATAATTTTATCTATTGGCTTCTACTCTCTTCTACATCCAGACTACTATTTCTAATACGTAGAAGCAGTAGACAGGTGTGCAACTACAATAAACTAGCATAACTTAGAGAGGTATAATGAAAAAATATGACCTAAGAGTATCAGCAATCTTCATACCAAAATCCACTTACAGAACCAACAATGACAAAAGAATCAACGAAAAGCGTGTCAATGTATTAAACGAACTACACAATTTTCAACTTTTGCAGCATTTAAAAACAAGAGCAACCATACCTCTGTTGAGGTTTGTTAAAGATATCACCGAAAAATATTTTCTTTTTTCTTTTCTCGTCCATGTCAAACAGATCTAAAATTTGAATTCTAATCAGACAATAGACATGCCACATATGCTGAAAACAGAATATTTTTCTCCTGTTCTTATTTGGACGTGTCTTATTACCAAATAATGCTGCCTGTACTAGAAGTCATAGTATTTAACTCTTCAACTAATAGGAGATAACAAAGTTAATCTTTATATTTAGTATATATTTATTAATAATATAAGAGAATCTTCATCACCTACAACGTCTCTTCAATGAAGCAATATATCTTGCCATTAAGAACTATCCCAGTAGTTGTCCACAATCCACCCTTCCTCTCCACGACCTCAGCCATTCCTAAGTGGTCAAGCCACCGTGATCTTGAAATATCTTTCCTGAAGAAAAAAGTTGCATGTATGTCATTTGTGAAATTATTTTTTGATTATAAAGATAAAGTTCCCAACAGAAGAGTTGAAACCTGAACTGCAAATTGGGTATATCAGTGGATGCAAATGCACAGCAATGGTCCTCATCATCAAGATCCTCCACATAGCCTTCAGAATCACTTGTTCCTTCTGAAAAACTTGCCCACTTATCAGTTCCCATAAATGGATTGAATTGCAAATACCTATATCCTATCAAAAATTCAAAAATCAGCACAAATTACGACCATCTTATAAAGTACAGACACTAATACTCCCTCTGTTTCAATTTTTGTGTTATGAACCCAATTTCTCAACACAACCACAGACTTTTGTATATTATAATTACTGAACTGAATTACACTGGAAGCAAGAATTACTAACGGAATTAAAGGAACAAGGGAAGCATAACCAGAAGGGGATGAGAAGCCAGAGATACAGAAATAGAAAGGGGGTGAGAAGACAGACTCAGAGAAAGGGGAAGGGAACTTCACAAGACCATCGCCTACCTTATTTTACTAACCTATTGCTATATAAATATTTTCTAACCTGGGTCCCACACATAACTTGCTAAATTTCCCAATATGCCCGCTCGGAGGTTATTTTCATTCATAACAATACCCCCGTCCTCAATAAGAACCTTGTCCTCAAGGTTCAGGTAGAGCAACATTGATATCATAGTGGTGATTAGGCCAAGACTTGACCGTCGATCGAAAAATGGCTATCAAACAGATACCATGAGAATAATGTTGCAAAGCACAATGTTGGAATATGCAACACCTTTGAGTCAACTATTAGAGATAGAGCAGCATTTGGGATCTCACAAGCTGACTCATGAAAAACCATATTGAACTTAGCCCTATCTAGTATGGCAACACATTGTTCCATTACACATCCATTGATAACATGACATAACCTCTTCAAAGCCTCCTGGAAAACCTGGTCTCTTAGGATAATGGAAATTAAAACAAGGCAGAAACAGTATTTTTAGATGCGTGTAGTTGGTAGACAAAACTGCCATGCTCAAATAGGACAGAGTAAAGAGCAATTTCACGGGCAACCACTTTCCTCAACTCCTTCTTAAGTTTGTCAAGTGTTGAATCCATTTTTCCAATCTTTTGATCTAAACCTGCTTTATCTTCACACCCGCTTTCCTCAGCGTTGATTATTTCATCATCGCTACCAACAAAATTGCAATTTCCACCAAATGCATCCACATTCCTTCCTTTGTAATTCAAGTAAAAGTTATTGTTTGATGTGTTGTACCACCATTCATATTTAGCACATATACCATCTCGAGCGTTGTTTGCAAACAGTTCTAAACAAGAACCACCAACCTTGAGTATTTGCCCAGTGTCGACCCAAAGGCAGACCTGTATGCCAACTTCACAATACTGCCATAGAACACCTCTAATGGTACAATCTGTTCTCGCAACTGCTCTAAGAACTCTAGCAAGTTGCTGGAAGTCGTTGAGATCAACCCTTGACTGTATGTTAATTGTCAGTATAAAGTCATCACTTATATTCCATGTGCCAATTCTTGCAAACTTTGTGTCAGCCTTTTGTATACTATAATTACTGAACTGAATTACACTGGAAGCAAAAATTACTAATGGAATTAAAGGAACAAGGGAAGCATAACCAGAAGGGGATGAGAAGCCAGATATACAGAAATAGAAAGGGGGTGAGAAGACAGACTCAGAGAAAGGGGAAGGGAACTTCACAATACCATCGCCTACCTTATTTTACTAACCTATTGCTATATAAATATTTTCTAACCTGGGTCCCACACATAACTTGCTAAATTATCGAATTAAATTGCAAAATGTAGGCATGCGAACACCATTCTCGTCCAGGGTCCCACACTGTAGTCATAGAGTTAGAATGTGCAACTAAGCAAAACTTGCTAGTAGATCCCAACAAAAGTAGTCCTTCTACGGTCTTTGTGGAACCTGTTAGAGTTATGAACATAGAACTTATTCCTGGATCCCAAACACAAAGATCCGTCACAGTAGGATTAAATGGAAACCGATTCCAAAGACGTTGATTAGCGAAAATGGTATCAATGTGATAAGCTGATTTCCTAAGGATTCCCTTAAAATCATCCACCACTATGTTTGAATAATCCTTGCACGGATTGTATACTTTCAGTTGAAAAGCAAACTGTGGTACACGCAACACGTTGTCCGCCCAAATTGGAAGAAAACCTTTATCATGTTCTACTCCTCCATTGAATTTTCGATGCACAACTTCAGGCATTATTTGGTCAGAAGGCATTGCAATTGTTGGGATGCCATCCTCATTCTCCATACAAAAATTATCAAGATATAGATCCGGAATAGGCTCAGGTTCCATGAAAAATTCAGCAAGATCCATATCTTCAACGGTTTCAAATTCAAATTGTCTTTGAATAGAGCCACTATCAAGTGAAGTTGCAGCAACTTACCTCTCTGAACTTTCATCAAACAGTTGGACAGCGCTGCTCGCAGGAGTTGTAGCTTCTTCATCTGGTATTTCTTTTGGAGGCTTTGAAGCATCGTCATCACTAGCTGGTTTGGCCTCCAAATCGCCAGTCAACTCCATCACCAGAATTTAGGCTATTGCTCAAAGGAGCCAAGGCAGGCCGCTGGGCTTTATGAGGGACCGAAATTTCGAAATGAACATAGTCAAAACGAGTCTGTGAAAGATAGGCCAGCCGCTCCATCGAATTTGCAAAAGTCCGTTTCTGAAAGCGCATAACCAACTTTTCTGTAAAATGTTTCTAATCAAAGAATTGGTCATTGCGGTAAAGCCAATCGAACCAAGTGAGTGCATCGTCGCCGAGGTATAATGAAGCTAGAGATAGCCAATAGTCCTTAGGAATATGACAAAAGTTGATGTACCACTCTGCCTGATAAATCCATCCCACTGGGTTCCCTCCGGTGAATCGATCTAAAATCACCACTGCCTCAGAAGAATTTACCATGGAGTACGAGCAATGAAAGCACCAATGTTATGAACCCAATTTCTCAACACAACCACAGACTTTTGTATATTATAATTACTGAACTGAATTATACTGGAAGCAAGAATTACTAACGGAATTAAAGGAACAAGGGAAGCATAACCAGAAGGGGATGAGAAGCCAGAGATACAGAAATAGAAATGGGGTGAGAAGACAGACTCAGAGAAAGGGGAAGGGAACTTCAAAATACCATCGCCTACCTTATTTTACTAACCTATTGCTATATAAATATTTTCTAACCTGAGTCCCACACATAACTTGCTAAATTTTCCAATATGCCCTCTCGGAGGTTATTTTCATTCATAACATTTTGTGACGATGGTTTGTCCATATATGAAGTTTAACCCAAAATAAGAGACGTTTGAAACTTAAAGTCTAAATATAGAAAGGTGTCGCTCTCTTAGGACAAACTAAAAATAAAAGTGTGCCATATGAAATGGGAGAGAGACTAACTGATTATTTAAAAAAAAGAAAAAGAAAGTGGAGATGCTAATTTTAATTTCAGTGCAATAATATATTACAATGCAAAAACTCCAGTTATCTCATCAATTTACTAAGTAAAAAGTATTCCTTAAATTTGGTACATTTAATGATTGTGCATGTTCTCAAAGTGATTCGAATTTATTTACTTAAACAATAGCTTGTGAAATTCAAAGTAAAGTGACAAATTAAAATCTCTTTGAAGCAAAATGCAGATTAGTTAAAAATATAACACAGATGATAAACTAAACAAAAAGAGAATGGGAGTTTAGAAACTAAACTAAACTAAGACTAATCAATACAACATAAATAAACAATACACACACACACACAAAAAGATATTTCGTGCTTGATAGTTTTTTACCATTTGTCTGATGAAATCAACAAAAGTCGAACTTGCATGCCTCTGAGATGATTTCAGTATCTCAATTCGCTACGTTGTTGTTTTTATTACTTAACAATATAATTCAAATAGCCATAAAGAAACAAAATTTAAACATTCAAAAAAGTGAGAGAAGGAAGAGAACTAACCTTTTTATTATGGCTGGTGGCCGTCGATTCGACGGAGGCCGGCGACTGGGTGCGGGACCGGCGATGCAGCAGGGAGAAGAGTGACTCCGTCACCTATGGAGTAAGGGCTTCAATAATTCTAAGATAATTAATTTGTTTCAACAACATACATTTGTGTACATTAATTAGCAACTTGTTTGGATTGGTTGTTACCTTGTATCCTATTGTTACTTTAAGTACGATATTTGTTTTGATTGTTAGTTAAATTTTATTATATGTGTTAAATATATTATTACGTAACGATGAAAAATGATACTTTATGGAACGATCGATTTGGTGTGGTCGCATCGTTTGCTTATTTTTTTCTTTCATCTTGCCCTTCCTTACTATTAAATAATCCTATTTTATCTTTTACCCAACCTTTTATATAATAATTTTACCTCTGTATCTTACTTTTTCTTTGTAATATTGCAAGTTTATTCATCATATTGTTGGTGCATGACATCATGAAACGACGACAAACAATACAATCTATCTAAATATTATATACACCAAAATGATACAGTACAATACAATACAATATTATACGATACATTATGAAACGATACATAACAATTATCAAAACAAGCTGTTAAGGACTAGGTAAAGCACTCGCTAGTGTCGGAGCCACGTAGATTAAGGGCGATTAATTTAATACCCTTGAAAGTTATACTAATAAACTAGTCTTATTATATGTGCAACCCCAATATTAATAAGTATTAAAAATTTACATAAATATTAATTTATATATATACATATAGTTGAGTAATAAAATATAAATTAAGAAAAAAAGTGTAAGCTTCTGAAAGTAAAGAATGTTGATCATATTTAGTTAAATAGAGAAAAAAATCTCTTGTATTTCTCTCTTACAAGTATTTGCTTTGTCATGAAATCAGAAACTCATATTTATTGATTATCTTTATTGCTTAGTTGCTATAAAAAATTATTGTTCTCTTTAGTTATGTCGGAAGGCAATTAGGAAAATGCTGAACCCATAAATTTCTAATGATTTTCAATAAAAAGGTTTTGCTTTGGCTTACTATATTTTCGGAAGGAATTATAGTTGTGTTATCTACTTCATTTAATGAATGATTATATAAGATAAAATATTAGATTTTAACATCCTACTCTATCTGTCCCAAGTTATGAAAAAAGGAATATAATACTTTCTTATTCAAAAATAATTTAATTTTAAACTTTTCAATTTACTCATAAGAAAATAATTTATAGCTGCATAAATATATGTGACTTGTTTTAGACCATAAATTTTAAAATATTTCTTCTTTCTTAGACTCCTTTCTTTGTTAAACACTCCCAATAAGTTGGGTTAGAAAGAGTAAATATTACTATTTCCTACATAGTTAAAGTAAAGAAAGATTTACTAAGTAAAATTTTAGTTGACTTCAAAGTTCTAAAATATTGGAAAAATAAGATGATAATTTTGTCCAAGAAAAAATATATGTTTAAAGGATTAAAAAAAATTGATCAACATTTCATGTTGAAGTTTCATTAAAATAAATTTTATAAAATTTTAATAGACCTTTTTACACTTTAAAAAAAGGTTACACTGAATAAAATTGTATCAGTATCCTAAAAAGTAACATGTACGGTGTAGACATTTAAATTTTATGGATTTAAATCCATAAAATTATTTGGACTGTACTTTAAATTCAAGATATATTAGTCCAAATAAATATTACGGGCTAATATAGTTAGATTAATTATATTTGTCAAATACATATGGGTTAAATAAATGAGTCCAAATCTACTGGCCAGCCCATTCGGTTGGATTACAAATGATGAGCCCACTTCATTAGGCCTAATATGCCACCTTACTATAGGCCCAATATGGTGCCACGTGTCAAATGACGTGGCACGCCAAGTCAAACGGAAGAGCCAATAGGATCATGCCACATGTCAAAATGACAAAGCATGCCAAGTCAAATTAAAACGCCAATGAAACTGCGCCACAAACGCAAATGACATGTTCAGGCCAATCAAATGTGGTTATGTCAAGCTTCAATCTGATTGGTCGAAAAGAGTTTGTTCTCATCACAACTCTTTCCTTCCACAACTATAAGTAGGGGTCTTCATAACTCAAAAAGGACACTAGAAGTTATAACAAGAAGACATAAGGGAGCTCATGGATCAAAGGCCACAATTCTATGCAAACTGCAAGTGTTCAAGCATTCAAGCATTTCAACACAAATTTCAAGTATTCAAGATAACAAACGAAGTCAAATCAAATACAAGACGTTCAAGATCAAGGCTACTTATTCGTGATAAAATTCGTGGCAACAATCAAAGCGTTTGCGACGGTTAAATCAAATTCAAAATCAACCTCAAAGGCCCTTGAATTTATATCAGAAAAGAAGAATCTGAGAAACCATAGAGATTGTAACACTCAAAAATTTGAAATCAAATACTACGATTGTTGTAATATTTTTCGGTCTTAATTTTATTTTCTCGACAAAATTTATTGTCTACAAATTCTGGCACACCAAGTGAGACAATCTCTACCTCTCATCTCAACTTTTCAATCATCAAAGTTCAAGAATATCGAAATGGCTTCATGAAAATCAACTCTAGATCAACGTCCACCAAGACTGCTAATTTCAGGTTCTATGCTGATGTGAAAAGCATCCTCGATGTTACCTTTGGAAGCTTTGGACCAGTTACGAGGAGCAAAGCAAGCTCATTAGGACAACGAGCACCCCAAGTGTCGTCCTCATCAATCCCTATTTTCGGATCTTCATCCTCAAAAAGGAGCAAGATCTTCCACAAACGCACCTGAAGGAGGAAGTGATGTTGCTGAAAAGATTAAGAAAACTTTTGCTCTGCTTGACCTCTCCGGATCCAAGAACTCTGCTGTAAAGGAAGATGATGATACTTCAAGTGATGGATCCTCCCCACTTACACCGCATAGCCAATCGAGGATCAATCTGTGTGACAATCCATGCAACTATCCATCATCCCCGGCAATCATGCAAGCCATGGTGACAAACACTTCATCTGTGGAGGAGCAGTTGGCAAACTTGATGGAAACAATCGCTGGCTTGACCAAGTGCATGAGAAATCAAGATGCTAAAATTGACGAGCTAACATACAGGGTAGGAATCTTGATGGAAGAAGAATCCACCCATGCACTAGCAAACTCCCAGAAGTTCCAGAGATTGATTCTCCTCCAAGACGAGTAGCATCCGCTAAGGCTATCCCTGTCTCATTTGAAGGGATGATTCCAATCGATCAACTGAAGGAGTTCATTGAAGGAACTATTAAGAATAAGTATGAAGTTGCTGCCAAGTCCTACCTTACATACACAAAGTCGTACACTGCAATGATCGATATGCTGAAGATGCCTGCTGGCTATCAACCTCCAAAGTTTTAACAGTTTGATGGTAAAGGCAATCCAAAGCAACATGTGGCGCACTTAGTTAAGACATGCAACAACGCTGGGACTTATGGAGATTACCTCGTCAAATAGTTTGTCCGCTCGCTAAAAGGAAATGCTTTTTATTGGTATACAGACCTTGAGGCGGGATCTATTAATAGCTAGGATCAACTAGAGCAAGAGTTCCTCAATCACTTTTATTGTTCAAGACGCACTGTGAGCATGGTGGAACTCACAAATACTTGGGTGAACCAGTTATCGACTTTATCAATTGTTGCAGGAATGCAAGCCTCAACTGTAAAGACAGGCCTAGTGAAGCTTCTGGCATAGAGATGTGCATCCAAGGCATGCATTGTGGATTGTGCTACATCTTGCAAGGTATCAAGCCTAAAACATTTGAAGAACTTGTAACTCGTACCTATGACATGGAATTGAGCATGGCCTTTGCTGGAAATGAAAGGTTGCCTATCTATGAACCTCCAGAGGGATCGACAAGCAAGAAGTCAGGAAATGGAGCAAGTTCGTACCCAAGTCTGAAAACAAAGAAGCTATGAATGTCAACATATCACCTGTGAAGTTCACGATGAAAGTGAGCAAGAAACAGAGTATGAAATCCACTTCTTTTCAAGATAAGCCAAGTGGAAAGTTGACTCTAAAAGAAATGCAAGAGAAGGAGTACCCATTTCTGGATTTTGATGTGCCTGCAATTTTTGAAGAGCTTCTCGAGTTAAAGCTCATTGAGCTTGCGAAGATGAAGCGGACAAATTAAGCTAGGAAAACTGATGACCCAAATTATTGCAAATATCATTGACTTCTGATTCATCCTCTTGAGAAGTGCTTTGTCTTTAAGGACAAAGTTATGGACTTGGCCCGTGAAAAAAAGATCGTGCTTGAAGATGAGAAGGCAAGTGCGAACCAAGTCTTTATCACCTTTGGCTCATTCAGTCCATATGAATTATGCAGTTTCAAAGAAAGTAAAGATGAAGAATAACTAGAGAACAACAAAGTCGGAGTTAATCATCTTGATGATGATGAAGGTTGGACGTTGGTGACTCGTCGTAGGCGCCACAAAAGGAGCCTACAGAAAGAATCAATAAATCAACCAACAAGGAAAATGATGGTAAAAAGACCAAGGAAATGGAATCCAGTTAAGCATTTGAAGAAGGCAAAAGTGGAAGTACACCACCCTCAAAAGCCACGATATCCAGTGACCTTGGAGTTCTTACCAAGTTGGTTCCGCACGAAGATGTCCCATGAGGGTATTGATGCCTCTTGTTGCCATGCTGAGAAAGGGGAAGTGTGACGACCCGACCCGTCGTCACGTGAGTTACCGCCCCGTTTCCCCATGTTATGCTTCTTTTAGTTTCATTATCAGTATTTGATGTGTTAGAGTTGGTTTGGAATGGTTTTGATAAGAAATGAGACACTTAGTCTCTTTTAAGAAGGCTTAAGTTGAAAAAGTCAACCGGATGTTGACTTTTGTGTTAGAGGGCTCGGATTTGAATTCCGATGATTTGGTTAGCTTCGGGGGATGATTTGTGACTTAGGAGTGCGATCGGAATTGATTTTGGAGGTTCGGTGTAGAATTAGGCTTGAATTGGCGAAGTAAGTATTTTGGCGAATTCCGGTTGGTAGGTGAAATTTTGATCCGGGGGTCGGAATGAGATTCCAAGAGTTGCAGTAGCTTCGTTAGGTGATTTTGGA